ACTTAATGTCTGAGCGCTTTATTTCCCTATAAAACAGTGGGGGGCTTGACGTTTCCCTCTGCATCTATTGCCTTGCTTATAAAAGTAACTGTAAGCATCATCAAATTCCACCCTTATAATATTTTATAATTGCGTTGATATTGTTTTCGTTTATCGGCGTTCAAAATATGCCTTTAATTGTAATTTTCGTTTTTATCGTCATTATATTATTGTCATTTAATTATTATACTCCAATGTGCTTTGCACTGACTATTCACTTCTAAATTAAATTGCTATACTAGGAATCATGTTTAGTAATTTATCGGCGTATTTACATTGTAATTACAAATTTATATCTATGCTTAAGCCACAAAAGTCTGTCTTCCATGCATCTGATATCGCTCCTACTAAATTAATAGGTATATCTATACTACAGTGCGTAACGCCCAGACAGTACGGTAGCCACAAGAGGGCAGTGTCCACTGTAGGCTGAACCGTGACCTCGTGTCTTCTTTCACTTTTGGAGTAGGTGGCGAGTACTGATTCTACAAAATACTTTGAAAATGCCCTTCACTTGAAACACTAGGCCTACCGTTGTTGAAATCCGACGCATTTCAGTAACTGTATCGTTTAAAACTAAACAACGCAAATGGGTCGCAGAATTACATGAAGAAAGGTTCGTTTAAGTGTAACAAAAGTTAATGATAAAACTTAATGAATTTCTCCGTTTTCGGTTCACCAGCACGTTTTCTTTTGAATAAATTGTATTCAAAGTATTGTAGGAAGTTGTGAATTTATCATGTAACTGGGGTAAAAAAAAATTTTTCAGAGCGTTCAGAAATTGACAGAAACCTCATGTAAGTGCCTGTGAATTATATACTCAACAGTCAATATACAGGTGATCACTTCTACAGACGTCCGCAGAGTGGAATTCAGCCATACTCGTCGGAAGGTTGGAATGTCGTGTCAAATTACTGAGGAATTACTTTATGAGCATGCTAGGAAGAGTGCAAACTGAGAATATATGCTCCAAGGAAGAGTAAAGGATGGATTAACATTAAAACTTTGACCCAATGCTCCATCTAATGGTGCTCTACAGTATCTATTACACTGTCAGAAAAACAAGAGTACTAATTTGTACCTTTGCTTGTCACTGGGGCTGTACCCCGCTGTAGGGTCTGCCAGTTGTACCCTGGCTGTTGGTAAATGTACCTTTTTGTCTAATTTAAGGTACAGAAATTGACTCTGAGGAATATTGTTGTACAACTGGGGGTACATTAATGTTGTTTGTATCTTGGGGAACAAAACTGTACCATTTTTTCTGACACTGTACACTCAGGAAAAAAGAGTACCATTTTATATCTTTGCTTGTTCCCCAAAGTACATTTCTGTATCTTACATTAGACTAAGAGGTACATTTACCCACAGATAGGATACAAATGGCAGATCCTTGATGGTTCAGCCTCAGTGACAAGTAATTGTACCCTCAAAGGTACAAGTTGGTGCTTTTTTTCCTGGCAGTATATTAGCTTATTTTTTGCTAAGCTGCTACACTATTTTACCAAAGCAGCTGTTGCATTGGGACTGTGCAATGGGATTGTGCATTTCAATTACCATGTGAGTTTTCAGGGGAAAAAATAAACTTTGATGGAAGCCAATCACAATGCTCCTATGTTTATGCACTAAGTCAGGGGTGTCAAACTGCAGTCCTGGGGGGCTTGATGGAAGCCCTGTGTAGCTTAGTTCTTTCCCTGTTCCACCACAAATGATTCAGCTCAAGTGCTGCGTGGTAATTAGCATAAAGAGGTGCAAGGAGTTGAATCAGGTGTGTTAAATGAGGAGAAACCCAAAAACGTGCAGGGCTCCAGCCCTCCTGGACTCCAGTTTGGCACCCCTGGTCTAAGCATTCACCTTAAATTGCAGTAGTGCTCTTTTTTAAACATGAAGAGCATTTTGTTTGTGTGGTGAATAAAAACCCATTTTATATTGCCATTTTCAAGCATGACCTAAAAAGATCCAGTTCTTTGAATTGCCCTTAGTATGGGCTTGTGTGGTTGTATGAAACTCCGGTAATGGACTGCTATATGGTTTTCATTGGAACAGGCCTCATAAATACACTATGGTCACTGCAGACCATAATGGGTCTCACTGGACTTCCAGTTACTGAAAATGAATGAAGAAATAATCTAAATTTTCAAACTGATGATAAACATTAAAAACAAAATCATGTAATTTAATATCACCACACATCATCATTGAAACAATTTCCATGTAAACTTATTATTTTTATATTATAATTATTACTATATGATTTTAAAATTGTTACAAAAATGTTTTCCAAACTGATATTTCAGCAATGACTTAGTGTATATGAATATAAGTATATATGTTTGACTGCATTTACTGTTGTTACAGCAGGGCATGGCGAAGGAAAAGAGGGACAATCCATGGAGTGGCTCCAACAAAAAGGGGTTTATCAAAAACGAAACACAAAAGGGAAAAACCGGAAAATAAAGGTGCCACGAGTGGTCAGGAAGAAAATAAAGTCAGGTAATACAAGAAACTAAGTGAATTGCAAAGAAAACGAAATACCAAAATACAACTAGACAGGGTGCAATACCAGGGACAACAACCATAGATCAGTGGAAACATAGGGGAAAAAGCACAACTGCAAACACATACTGTAGTAACAGCGACAGCAACTGACAAAGGCAGACACTTAAATACAGTTAACAAACCTAGACGGGGGACGGGTGAGAACCATAACGAATCAACTAATCATTAAGGGCATGGGGCAAAAAAAGGAACAGGTGGCGTAGATACAATAAACAGGCACGGAGAGGTCGATTAACAGATAGAAAGGACCAAACACTGTGGAAAATCAAAACTAGGATAACTGAAGGAAGAGGAACATGGAGGAAAAACAAGGAACTGTGACAAAAATACCAATACAAACGTTAAACCGGCAGAACACCAAAAACCAAAGAACGTTAAATAATGAGTAGTACAGACTGGCCTCTGGCCAGCCTTAAACCCACAACCAAGAAAGGAGAAGTTGGAAATGGTGGCCATTAAGTCACATGGTGGTCCCAGGTGCAGGCAAACACACTAGGGACTTAGGGCTGCAAGACAGAGGAGGGAACAGGATGGCCAGCGACACCTGCTGGCCAAACAGGAACTAGACACATGGGACAGGGCCAACGGCACCAATCCCTATTTATATATATATATATATATATATATATATATATATATATATATATATATATATATATATATACACATACACACACACTTAATGCTTTTTAATTCTGATCTGGATTGTAGTTTACAGACTGTGAACATAAGCAAAAGAGGAACATGGTTGCACAGCAATGTCACATGGGTACCAGAATGTGGCTGCCTGCCTGAGAGGCCCTGTAATCTGCCTAATGGCCTGTGCTTCTTCGTGTTGGCAGTATCACAGGAATCGGCTAAGAGGTTATTGAGCACTGAAGGAATTTGGTCTCACTGCTGTTAATTGTTGAGTCAGATAATACGTAAGGTCATGCATACTAAAGGCAGATCATTCACAACTGCCTGTAACAAAATCTCTAGAGGGAGAGAACTGTATAAGTTGCCCAGTGACTTGGTGGGTATAGCACTGTCGTGTGTGTGTGTGTGTGCGTTGTGATTGCATGTTCTCCTGCAGTCCAAAGACATGCAACGGTCTGAAGTGGCATCCCTAAATTCCACCAATGGTGTGAATGTGCCCTGCGATGAATCTGCATCCTGCATATTTTTGAGAAACACCTAATATGTTATACTGGGTTAACATTTCATGTAATTGAGAATGATTTTAGTCTCTTTATCAATCATGTGGATGAGATGTTGTGTTAATTTGATGCTCTGGAAATGAGCAACAACTAGTAGTTTTTTTGAAGGACCATCCCTCCTGGTGTCGCTCCAGCCGCTCATCTTCCGACTGCTTATCCAGTACAGAGTCCCAGTGAACCAGCACCCATCCCAGGAGGCTCAGTCCATGGGGCTGCAGAAACCTCGGACAGGGTGAAAATTAGAAAGATCATCTTCACAAAAAATGTAGAATCTCTCTGAAATTACACTAGATGTAAATGTTTTCATGAGTTTTGTGTTGTTTACCTGTTCCTTGAGTTGCAGTTTCGTTTTTCTCACATACATCATTTTATCCGCCATGAAAACTTTGCATATTCAATGAAAATCATGGTCCACACGAGGTATATGTTTTTTAACGTCGTTTCTATCCCCTCTTTATCAACAAGACAATCTAGCTTTGTGATAATATGCAAATGGACAACACTACTACACGAATACCATGCTAAGAGTATCAATTCTGCATAAAACACATTCAGAGACATATTTCTTAAATGGGTTTAAAGAACTTTTATAAGACATTAAACTATGCTTAAACGTGTGCCTTACAAAAATAATAGCTGAACATAACTAGAAATGTCATTGTTTACGTTTTTTTCTTATACAAGTGGTTAATCAGTGAGATAGAGATCTTAGTACATTGTTGTTTTTAATTTCACTCCGTCATTATACCTCTTCAATTTACTAAAACGGGCTGTAGTACCGCATGCGCCTCAATCATTGTTCCGCATTTCAATATTATTGCGATTTATAGAGTTCACTTATAAAAAAAAAACAGATGCATAATAATAATAATAATAATACACGCTTTGATAATTCCCTTTGACTGTGTGTCTCCCCCCTTCCCACGAACCGGGAAGCTGGACAATTCTGCATACGTATTCATTATGAATGGCAGGAGGCACCGCAGCCGTACACATCACAGAAGCGGACCGTCCGCTTGCTGCAGAGCTCTGCATCATTAGCCCACACCCCCACCCGCAGCCGCCCCTGGGCGCTGTCCGCGGCTGCAGTGTTTACCGGCCAGAGGCGGTCCCTAATCTACCCAGATACCTTTTCCTCATTGGCGGAGCCGACCGAAGAGAGCGCGCAGGATTGAGCGCGCGGCCGCGACACACCCACTGCCATATTAGGCGAGTAGAAAGAGGGGCGCAAATGGGCATTAAGGCGCTGCAGTGACACAGCGGGGGACCGAGGCGTCATAACTAGCAACTTTCTATGGAGGCGACGCTATATTCGTGTGGCATATTACAGTATGGAGGAATTTTTGCTACGTGCCAAATCTGTGCTGGTAAGTAACAACTTATCCAGTTGGGGATCAAAGTGCTGATATTGAAACGTGTCACAGATATTAGATTTATTTATTTATTTGTTTGTTTGTTTTTATTTTGTTTATTTAGCAGTTTAAATATAGTCTTCCCCCCACCTGTGGCACAGTGAGGTGTTAAAATTGCGTCAAGTTGTTCAAAAGCTCAATTCAACACACTTTTAAGATGACGGATATAGTGAAGTCACGAACGAATAAACGCCTCAATGAGTTTTTATTAATCCGTCTATGTTCAGCAAGATAAATGTGTAGTTAATTCACAGCCTTTAATGTAATTACACAGGTAAGTTGTATATCTACGGTTAACTGAAATTCTTTGTCGCTGGTGGTTAACGGATCTACGTTCTTTCGCCAAAGCTGGACCTTTGCCACGAACCGACGCGTCTTCGACGGTCAGACATTGTTACTGACAGACTGAACAATACGCACCCTTTGCTTCTGTTTTAAACGGCGGAACTAACAGGAGAACGAATTCTATTACAGAAGCGTAAAAAGCATTAACAGTACAGAATAACACTATATCCCTCCAAGAGATTAAACGCCAAAATCCATTTTCTCAAAAAAAAAAAAAAAAATTCCCGTATCTATCCTCTTGTTATTTACTTCTCGTTTTTTAAATGGGTTAAGCTGGCGTTTGTTGCCAAATCAAAATACCTACTGGCCGAAAATCAACACCAAAAATAATAACGATAAGTATTACTACCCTTACTACATTCCGTTAACATATCAAACCCTGTTCAGAGTATTTATTAAACATACGCTACAATAACACAAAACTGCTGACCAGTGACTAAAACTAATATTTCTTTTTTATGGCCAACCAAACCATGTCTCGGTCAATGCAGTTTAACTTATGTCTGGCCTTTGCCCCTAGTTTACAAGCAGAGATGGCACAGGGATATGTAAAGTGCTGATCTTGTACATGCCTCTAAACTAAATTCACTGAACCTTCTTCAAAAGAATAGACGGAGTCTGACAGCTGATATAGCAGTGATAAGCAAAAATCATTTCATTAAGAAACACTGTAAGGTGCAGTACATAATACTGTTGTCACTCCTGAACAAGATCAAAGCCAATGTATCAGTGATCATTTCTTCTGTGTCTGATATGTAAAATGACGCACTACAGGATACATTGAGTGCAGCTTTGGGATGCTGCTTGCAGCTTTGAGAGGTCAGTCTGAAAACAAAGGCTTGATGTTCAGAAAGCCACCTGTGAGACATTCCAGCCTCGATTTTTGCCCTGTGGGCCGCAAGCCAAGCCGAATCTAATTTTGCAGTAAGAATTGTCTGCTGACAAAAGTGGCTTTGGACTTGGGCAGCAACATTCACAAACCTGAAAGGGATGGAAAAAGAAATTTAACCAGTTTAAAGCCGGAATATAATCTATGCTTTACAATACAGAGGGAACAGCCTAAATCATAAAATGTACTGATATACAATATGATGTGTTTATTGCATTCATGCAGGTTTTTCATTTGAGAAACACAGTGTCTCTAGGACCATGTCTAATCCCTGAGAATTAAAAACCAAACATGTGGCTGCATGAATATATAAGATCAAGTTATCGAAGTTTCGTGATACACAATACGTTCACCGATACTTGTATTGTTTGCTGTTAGTCAAAACGATCAGTTTTGGCATGGAAATCCCATCTTTCTTCAATGGTAACCTACACAACTAACAGTTTTAGACATTTTGTACAGCAGTCTTCCAGAAGTAATTCAGTGCATTTCCCAGGAGTGCAAAGCTGGGGACGTCACCTGCAGACATGTGAATGGCAGCCTTTCAGGTTCTGTAAGTGGAGATGCATTGCATTAGTGGTGCTGCGTGTTCAGTCCCATTCAGGCATGAACGTCTCGCATTGCTTGCTGCAACTTTCCAGGGACCCTGTTATGTTGCTGAAACTGCGACTACTCTGTTAGGAGGACGAGTTATTGAACCTGGGGGAGATTCTATCAGCGTAAACACTGGCAAATTTCTCTATCACGGTTAGTGAGGCCGCCCAGCCTTCTGCTGTTGTGCCCCGGTGCACTCTGGGACTGTGATTCAATTAGATATAATGGATGGGATGCAGGCTAATTCATTTCCACCTTAGAGGAAGGCAGTCCCTGCACTACACACATATGTGGCTTCAGCTTTCATAGAGCCATGGATATGGGAACCTGTGACTTTGGGCTGTGCCACATTTCCTGGAAGTTCTCCCCAAACGAGCTTGATGGGCCGAATGGCCTCCTCTCGTTTGTAAATTTCTTATGTTCTTATGTTCTTATATAAACTAGGCTATATCTTACTCTTAAACCTTTATGTAACTGAATAATTCATGCTGTGAGAATAAAATATAAACAGTTGAGAGTGAAACTTGGGGTCTGAGCACAGGGTCGGGCCCTTTATCTGGCCCCCCTGGAGCATTTCGGGGGGTTAGGGGCCCTTGCTCAGAGGCCCAACAGAAATGTGACTATTCTGCTAAAGGTTGGATAACAGTAGGTGAGGTTCCAATTAGAGACACAGAGGCCTAATCTGAGGAGCCACACACTGCCCCCATGTTACACACACACACACACACACACACACACACCTATACCCTAAACCTAATCTGAGGAGCCACACCCCATGTTACACACACACACATACACACACCTATACCCTAAACCTAATCTGAGGAGCCACACACTGCCCCCATGTTACACACACACACATACACACACACCCACCTATACCCTAAACCTAATCTGAGGAGCCACTCACTGCCCCCATGTTACACACACACACACACCTATACCCTAAACCTAATCTGAGGAGCCACACACTGCCCCCATGTTACACACACACACATACACACACACACACCTATACCCTAAACCTAATCTGAGGAGCCACACACTGCCCCCATGTTACACACACACACATACACACACACACACCTATACCCTAAACCTAATCTGAGGAGCCACACACTGCCCCCATGTTACACACACACA